CTCCCTCTCTCTGATCTCTTCTATCTATCCCTCTCTCTCTCGTCACGCCATCGTCCTCTCCTTTCTCCCAGTCTCTCCTTTCTCTTCCCCGTCTCTCTTCCTCTCCTCTCGTCTTCCTCCCGATCTCTCTCTCATCTGTCTCCTGTCTCTCTGTCATTCATCTTCCTCTCCTCTCTCTCCGCTCGCTCGCCCTCTGTCCCCTTCCATCTCCCTCCTCTCTCTCTTCTCAGTCTCTCTCGGTCGGTCTCTCTCTCGTCTCATCATCCCGTCTTTCCTCTTCTCTCTCGTCATATCTCACATCGATCTTCTCCTCTCTCTCCCTCTTGTTCTCGCTCTCGGATCTTCTCTCCGCCCGCGCCTCTCTGGCTTTGCATCTCCTCGCGGACGCCGATCTCTGTCAATTATCTCTTTTCTCCAGTCTTCCTCTCCCCTCCTGTCTTCCTCTTTTTTACTCATCTCCTCCTCTCCTTTCCTCCTCATTCCCCTGTCTCTTCTCATCATCCTCTCTCATGGGATAAGCCTCTCTCCGTCTGTCCTCTATGCCGCATCTCGTTTCAGATCTCTCCTCAGATCTCTCCTCGGCTTCTCTCCTCTCCTCGGATCGTCAATCATCTCTCGGGTCATCTTTCTCCCTCCCACGACCCCCTCTCTCTCTCTCTCTCATCCTCGTCTCTCGTCTCGTCTCTCTCTCTCTCTCTCTCTATCTCTCCTCATCTCATCTCCTCCTCCTCTCTCTCCTCTCTCTTCTTCCTCCCTCCCTCTCCTCTCTCTTTCTCCTCTTTCTCCTCTCTCTCTCTTCTCTCTCTCTCTCTTCTCTCTTCTCTCGCCTCTCTTCTCTCTCTCTCTCTCCTCCTCCCTCCTCCCTCTCTCTTCTCTCTCTTCTCTCTCTCTCTCTCTCTCCTCTCTCTTCCTCCCTCCTCCTTCTCTCTCTCTCTCTCTTCTCTCTCTCTCTCTTCTCTCTCCTCTCTCTCTCTCTCTCTCTCTCTCTCGTCTCTCTCTCTCTCTCTCTCTCTCTCTCCTCTCTTTCTCTCTCTCTCTCTCTCTCTCTCTCTCCTGCTCTCCCTCTCTCTCTCTCTCTCTCTCTCTCCATCGCTCTTCCTCCTCTCTCTTTCTCCCTACTCACCCCCGCCCATCGACAGAGCATGATAAATGAGGGGTCCCAGGCCAAAGGATAGATTAATGGATGGTAATTATTTGATGAGTTGAAAAGCATCCTCATCTCTCGGGCCGGAGAGCGTGCTGCTGAGGATGCGCTAAGTGCTTCGCTCGGGGCAGCTTCGTGTAGGAGGTTAGGCTTGCACTGTGGTGGCGTAGGGTGTGCTGTGTGGCACTGTGGTGGTTGTGGTGTGTGGTTGTACTGTGTGGCAGTGTGGTGGGTTAGGCTGCGTTGTGTGGTGAGCGTGGTAGCGCTGTGAGAATGAGTGATGTGTGAGGTTACACTGTGTGGCTACGCTGTGTGGTGGTATGGTGATAGCGGAATTGTGGTGTTGTAGTGTGGAGGATGTTTTCGTTGGCAGGTGAAGGGATACGTACCGACTGCTTAAATACGCCTCGAGTAAGCTAACGACCTTACGGCGTATGGCCAGGACGATGATTTATCTATTGCATTTTTCTCCTCTCAGGCTAGGACACCAATAAAGGAAAGGTGCTTCTGTATCAATCGAAAGTCTCCCGCCGATGAATAAAGCAATTAGTCGCGGCTAATACACCTGATCGTTTCAAGAATAACAGAGACGAGAGAAAAATCGCCTCCGCTTTTTACGGCGAAATGACCTCCGCTCTGAACGAGGTCGCCGGAATCCCCGCTTTATGAAGCCGCTCGTCGCAAGGAAGGGAAAAGGGAACCGAAATCAATTTCCTGTTGAGTCATGCCGATAAAAGAGCCACGGCAGTACCGACAGAAAGATGATTAACTTCAACGAGCCTTCCTTTCTTTTTTAATGCGGATTCCTGTCGTTTCAGAAGTTATCACTGAAGTCTGTAGTTTCCAGCAGCCCAAAATGCAGCACTTATCTTTTTTCGTAGACATTTTAGGTTGATTAAGTGGCCTTCTCAACTTAATTGGCTGCGATGTAATAATGATACACGGGAATGAAATCAAAGGCCCGGGAATTGAATGTGCGTCAGCCGGTGGTGGGAAGAACGTGCTAAAGAACACGAATAGAGGCTGAATTGATGGAGATGAAGTAATAAGGGGAGTATTGATGACAAAAACAGTCATAGCTGCTAGTGCTAATGACAACATTGAATAATAAAAAAGCAGCAGTAGTTGTGTTTGTTATTAAAACTGCTCAGATTACGAATTCCATTATCAGTATAGCTAATGGTAATGCTGCCTCTACTATGATGATAATAATAATAATAATAATAAATAATATATATATCAGAGAAGAATAAAATT